TGTCATCCCCAACTCCCCCTTCCTGGGCCCCCTCCCTGGATCCTCCCCCTCCCCCCATGACCTTCTGTACGGATTTGCTCTCCGGAAGGAATTCTGGTTTCGCGTGATCCTGCCTGCGTCCGTGTCTCTGATTCCGCCGGTGACAAAAAAAAAAAAATTAATAACAATAAATAGCCTTGATCAGGGACAGCTCGTTGGCCTTGGCCTCTCGCTTCCTGGGTGGCCCCGACTGCAGAGGTGGGGCCAGATGTCAGGGACAGAAGGGTACAAAGATGCCAGCCGACCTACGCCCCGCCATACATGTGCACCACGAGGTTCCGGGCGAGGCAGCGATGGCACATCCCTTAAAGTTCATCCCCAATGGTTCATCCCTGAAGGTTCATCCCCAGTGGGGGCACAGTGGTGTCCGGGATCGGCCTCTCTTTCCTCTGCCAGCGAGGGCAAGGCCTGGGTCAGAGCGCCTGGGACGGCGGGACCTGCAGGGAGATGGGGGAGGCAGGCTGCAGGTTGAGGCTGGGGCCAGGCCGGAGACACAGGGTGCAGCCCTCCAGGCTGGAGAAGTCCACGGTCAAGAGGCCAAAGAGCATGAAGAGCAGCATGGCCACTGCCCACTCGCAGACAGCAGAGTGGGAGCGCAGCAGGCTGGTGTGGAGGACGACCACTTTACACCACAGTCAAGGGCACACCACCAGGGGAAAGATTCTGGAGCCCACTGGATGCCCCACGTCGGTACCCTCCTGTGACATGTTCACCCTGTGCTGATGGGCATGACCTCTCTGGCTGGTCACCCTCCTTGATGGCTCCCAGACACCCTCAAAGGATGCCCTCCAATCCTGTCTGCATCTCAAACTGTTTCCCAAATATTTTCCCCTGCAGGTCCCATCTGTTTGTATGATGTCCTCAATATTCTAGAACAAGGTTCTTATCTTCCCGTCAGCCTCCCTGACCGCTTGAAGGCTCCACCATCTCCTAGTTACCCGGCCAGACAACCAGGCACATTGCTTCTACCTCCAAACACACAGTTTCCTAAAGATACACCCAGCCCCACACCAGGCTCAGGCCCACAGGCTCCTCCTGCTCACTCCCAAACAGAATTGAATCTTCCTCCTAAAATATCTTCCTCTTTCTGGGTGCCCCCACCTCCATGACAGCCCCACCATCCACTCATGTGCCCCAAATCACCCTCGCCACCTCCCTCATGCCTGTGAGCAGCTGGTCACCCAGGTCTTATTCTATCTGCCCTGGCCTTGCATCTCTGTGGATCTCTCCTGTTCCTTCTCCGGCTCCCTGGTTCCACCCAGCTCCTTAAAACCATTTCCTAACCATTGGTGACACGTACTGCAAGCTCCAGCCTAGCAGAGATGCCTCTTTTTCCCTGGAACCCTCCTCACTGGACCACTCTTTCTCCTCTCGGACAAGCCAGCTCTGACTCCTCCAAGATCAGATTAAACATTACTTCATTCATTCAAGGATTGGGAGGCAGTCCCTAAGTCCAACACCATCCCAAAGCAGCTGGTTTGGCAAGACCAGCTCAAAATGAATGGATCCGCTTAATGCAGGCAGCACAGGACCTCAGCTGGGTTCCCTCTGGTTTGGAAATGCCAGTGTCCTCTTGGCCTCCTTTCCATCATCCTCCCCACAAAGGCCAGCAGTCGCCAAGGCCAAGTCTGCAGCCCCTCCTCCTCAGAGCTCTCTACCTAGCAGTGACAATCATCAGTACGATAAAAGGAACTCCATTTTACAGACAAGGAAACTGAGGTTCAGACAGTGATTTGACTCATCCAGAGGCATGCTGGGCTGGGTTCTGGGGTGACTCAGAAGTGAGTTGGAAATGAGGTGCCATCCAGTAGTGTGCTGGTAAACATTTAACAGCCAGCTCGGATTTGTAGCATTTGGCACTTCCTCTGGTGTAAATACTTCCACTGTGGCCATTTCAAGCTACTAACATGACATCACCCAACATGCAGTTGAGAAGAGATACACACAGACTGCCCCTGAGAGCCCTTGCTGGGAGGCGAACCCCACCATTGAACTACATGTTGGGTCTTGGCCAAGAGCCTCCTCCTGTCTGAAGCTGTTTCCAGTCTTAGCCAGCATGAAGCCCAACAGAGCGGCTACCTTACATGATTGGTTTTGCATCTTCCCAATATTTGTTGGTCACCCACTACGTGCCAGACACTGATCTAAGCACCTCACATGCATCATCTTTGTTCCTTACAACCCCAGGCTGGCGCTATTATTAATTGCATTTGATAGAGGAGGAAACCTAGGCAACAAGAAGTTAAAAAAAAAAAACAAAGCACAGCAGAGCTTCCCCCAACTAGTATGTGGACAATGGGGGACTCCAACCCAGGCAGTGTGGCCCTGGGTTGGCACTCTCTGAGGACTGTGCTGTGAGGGGGCTGAGAAAGGAGGGGGCATCCACACTCGCACACAGCAGACCCACCCTAGTGAAGAGCCACCCTGACTTCTGCCTCATAAGGATACTGGCCACCATGAGGACGGAGCAGATGCTGCAGAGGGCCAGGCGCAGTGGCCCGATCCAAGGGGCCCCCGGCTGAGGCAGGCTCTTCATTCTCCAGGAGAGAAGGAGCTGCAGCCAGAAGTAGATGTGGCCCACGAAGAGGGCGAAGAAAGCCCCGGTCAGGTGCGTGGCCTGCTGGTTCTTCTGCTGCAAGGAGGAGCAGGGAGAGTTGAGGGGAAGACCTGTGGAGAGGCCAGGGCCACCAGGCGGGGACAGGGCCCTGACCAACCCCATGGACAGAGACTGACAACTGCCATGCCCAGTGACCGGTTTGTTGATTACGTTGATTACCGTGCATTGGCTATTGTCAGCTCTGTGAGAGTGGGCATGGAAATCTCTTGTCCCTGCCAGGCCAGTGTGGCTCAGCGGTTGAGCAAGGACCTATGATCCAGAAGACGCAGTTTGACTCCCAGCAGGGGGCAGTGCAGGAGGCAGCCAATCAAGGACTCTCTCTCATCATTGATGTTTCGATCTCTCTCTCCCTTCCTCTCTCTGAAATCAATAAAGATATACATCTTTTAAAAAATTAAAATAAAATAAAAAAGAACGTGGGTTCTAGAGTCTACGCATCTGGGTTCACATCCGACCACGGCGGACCAGCGGATGAAGAAACCTCCCTGGGATGTGGCCGGGAAGGACCCAGCTTGAGTCCTGGGGCAGGTGGATAAAATAGGGCAGAACGCAACACCCACCGCAAACTCCCCGCTGCGAGGCGTTAAGGATACGTGACTATCAGTCATTTCATCACTAACGGGGGTGGAGGACAGGGGACTACCCCAGCCTCCCAGGGTGCAACGGCATAACGACAAAGAGCCTCCCCGGCGGCGCTCCCCGCAGACAGCGGGAGGAGACACCCCC